TAAAAAAGATGGCGGCAGACTTTTTAGCAGGGCCTGTTGCGACAGGACAAGGGGGAATGGCTTTAAACTAAAGGGGGGTAGATTTAGACTAGATATAAGGAAGAAATTTTTTACGCTGAGGGTGGTGAAACACTGGCACAGGTTGCCCAGAGAGGTGGTGGATGCCCCATCCCTGGAAACATTCCAGGTCAGGTTGGAGGGGGCTCTGAGCAACCTGATCCAGTTGAAGAAGTCCCTGCCCACGGCAGGGGGGTTGGACTAGATGCCCTTTAGAGGTCCCTTCCAACCCAAACTATTCTACGATTCTATGATTAATAAAACCATGACAATAGACTCAATTCTGAGTTTCAAGTCACATTGTTACTATCACTCATGGCAAAATAAGAATCTAGGGACACACAAAACAAGAAAAGCCATTTACTACTGCAGGCGATGGCAATATTAAGAACATCTTCATCAAAATTAGTGCTCCACTATACTATGGCAAGTACAAATTGATCCATCATCCTAAGCCTAGCACAGAACAAGGGAGAATACAAATCATCTTCATTTTACGGATGCAGAACAGGATTACAAAGCCATTAGTTGACTTAAGCATCAGAAGCTTCAGACTGTAAATTAGTATGTATCTCTCCAGTTCACTACCTTAACCATCAAGGCAAAGCAGTCTTCCCCCCGATAAGGTACACAGTGATATATAAATACAATATTGTTGTATTGCAAACAATATGCTATTCTGAAAATTAAAGCCTCTCATTTTTCCTAATGCGACAATTAAATGACAGAATGAAGCAACAGGTCCAGTTTCTCATTAAGTCACTAGCAACACCACATTACCAAGTTGTGTTGAGAGAAAAGCTGTGGCCAAGACAAAGTGATAGGAATGAAAGATGAAGCATTTTAGAAGCATTTGATTTCATATTCCTGGCTCTTCCGCTGACTTTTTACACAACTGGAGCAAAACTGAAAGGCACACACTTGCCATGCTGTTCTATCTGGTGCATTCAGTATGGACCAAGACTTTCCAGTGCAAGAAGCACAACAAATTCACACAGTGCCTTATGTACCAAGTCCATGATCATCTTTGGTGCCTCTATGGTAACAAACAGGAAAAGTGCAGCTAGATGAACCATGAGGACCAGAAGAGTCATTCACAGGATGCCCAATGTGTCTCCAAATCAGTTGAGATAAGAGCCTCAAAAGGAATTCTGGCAGCTGTGCACATCTGGCTGGACAGAGAGACGGTATTGCAGCATACCAAGCTTACCCCTGGAAAAGTAAGTGATCTCTATCAATCCCACAAAGTTTGAGGGTGAGTAGAAGGATACTTCCTCCCAGAGGACAATAAAGAATGAATCATCAAGTATACAAAAAAAAAAGCTGTAAAATGATAATAGCCCAGGAAGGACACAGACTGTCAAAACTCACGGTAATAAACTGAGACAAAGAAAATGCCTTTACGATTTTGCAACCGATCAGAGAAGACAAGACTCCCACCCAAAAGCAGGTCATTTTCTTGAGTACTTTTATCAGAAGCAGGAGGTGGTGTCACAGTACAGCTGTCAGACATTCCCCAGAGATGTGCAGATCACAAGGCTTGTCTTAAGCTGAAATATGATTTAGCAAAACAGAGACAGTAACAGAGATTAAAACTTTAATTTAAAACTTTGCCAACAAAAATTGGTTACAAAAAGGGAAGTTACCTGTACAAAATAAGAAAGGAGGTACTCATTTAACAAGAAACTGCCATTTTCAGTGTACGCTGGAGGACAGTGCTTCAGGTCAAGTGACAAGTGAGAGAAAAAACAGACTACGCTCGTAATATGAAGTTCTGAAGTGAATCTTCTGTAAGCCAAAGTAAATTGACCTGAAGCAGCTCAAAAGCTAATCAAGATTTATCAGAAGTCTATTTGCCTCGCAAACCTTTTCCTCTTCATTTATAGAAGGAGGATGCACTAGAAAGCAAGACCCAACACAGTGCACTGGGCCAGGACAATGACTTTTGCCATCCCTCCTCCCACCCAAGCCTTCCTTCTGGCCTTCTGTACAAAGATGTTCTGCAATTTGAGTGTGCCAGGGTTTTAGCTGAGTCACAAACTCTTGCATCTTTACTTAACAGTTAGGTCCTGACTCAAAATGAAGACAAATGCTTTGGAGACAGTGATATGACTAAAAAGACCAGCTGCATCGTGACTCCTATAAAAATGGTGGTGCTCAGTCTTTTCAAGTTAGCATCAAATAACAGCTGTCAGTCAATGATAGATTAGTATTTACAACATTGCAGTCCTCTTTTCTACCTACCATTTTATACAAAGAAAGACAAAAGAGCATCTTTAAAACTTATCACTGAATAGACAAAAATGGCAGGTGATTTCTGAACTCCAAGTTCCTGTAAAATCTAAGCCCACAATAAGATCATTACCAGTTTTCTACATTTTTCAACAAGCCAGATCAACAAAATTGAGTTGCAGTGAAGAAATGAGCATGCATTTTTTTCAAGCAAGCCAGCTGAAAACTTCCAGTCCGACTGCTTATTTTCCACTCAGTTTCACATCACGCAGTATTTACAAGTTTTTAAAACTTCAGAACCCAGGTTTAGTGAAGAAACAAAGTAGTAATAAAAATGTTTTGGCCCAGATTCACTTCACCTACTTATAGATACCTGAGATACCTAAGTTGGGGCACAACAGCCCTCTGTACCCTACCTACCCAGTAAAAAGACAGACAAATGCTAAAGGGAAATTCAGTCTTGAATCTCATCCTAGTGACAGTGCTGCTCTTCCTCCAACTATAAAACGAAAAGGGAGCAACTATATTCCAATTTAGAAGTCTCGATTAAGCTTAGAGTAATCGCGTTCCTAGCTTAAGTGTTGTCATCTATGTGAACCTAAGCCTTACCTTGCTCACTAGCAGCTCCCACCTAGGGGAGCGGGGGACAGCTACCTTTTAAGAATGCTATGAAACATGCATGAGTCCTCCTTACACCTGGGAAAACTGAGATAAGTAAGAAGTTCGCTCAAGTCCATGTGGTGAGTCAGTAACAAGCTGGCATTACATCTTCCTGGATCTTAGCCCTGTGCTCTGCCTACAGGAACCCAGTACAAGGAAAACTACTGTACAGAATCATTCCCTTCTCCATGTCAAAAAGTTTTACCAAAAAAGTACAGATACTAATAAACAGTGTACATAATTTCTTATTTGACAATGAAAGAGTCCTATAGTAAAGCAATCTGTTCTATTGTATCTTGACCCTGGAAAAGTTTATTTCCAGCTTTGATTCTTTGATGTCTTAAAGCTTTTAATAGAAAGCTGAAGATTCAGTTAACAAACATAATGTTGCAGTCAGTACCCTTTACATGAACTAGAAAATGTAACACATCGTTGTGGTTAAAGTAGTATTTGTGCTACCCAATTTTGCAATCAAAATAGGAACCTTGAAGTCAAGAATTCACAGATCTCGGGGGGGGGAAGCCAGACAACTTCAGTTTCAACAGCACAAGCCTTGTAACATGCCATAAAGAGTTCAGAGATTTCAATTCTGTGAATATCTGTTATTGCCATTTCAAATGAAAGCGCTCTTATCTTTTGTCTTGCCCATCCCATGCTGTAGCAGGTAGGACAAATGCTGCACAGCAAGAACCCCCCCACCTTAAAATACAGCTTAATAATAGAAATGAAACATTTGTACTTTGCTTTATGAATGCAGTAGAGATATCACTTAAATAATGTTTCCAAAGACCCTGGGACTTAAGCACAGCTATGGAAAAAGTCAGCCTCCTAAACTTTGGGGTTAGTTTGATCCATCTGCCTCACACTGGATTCTTACCTTACCACGGTCAACAAAGCTTTTAACATACTAGGCGAGACAGAACACCATTAGCTTGTTCCATCACATCGCGGAACAAGACAGCACAATGGATGTCTGTTGTGACAGGCAGACAATACTGTATAAAGAAGGCTTTTTTTAATGGCAGAATCAAATTGGACACTACTGGCTAACCTGGAGCAAGATCTACATTTTTCCCTTCTGGAGTTTTTAAATTTCCTCTTGAACCAGAAACATTCTTTCTAATCAGTTAAATCCAACAGTACTACAGAGAGCTCAGTTCTTAAGCATGCTCTGCACCAGGAAGGGTCGGTCCTACATCCAATTAAAACCAAAGAGTTGCTGTTTTCCAAGGGCAGGAGTTCTTCACTGGTCACCTAGCCGGAAACCTTGGCCCCAGTTGTGTCTTCCACCACCCTGCTGATCTTCTGCAGCTCTTCTCATGCTAGCAGGTGGGACACCAAACCCCGACACTCCTCCTCTCCTATTTGGCAGCCAGCGGTACCTAGGACAAGCCAGGAGAGAAGGAGAGAGTTTGAGAAACAGCTGTACCTTGGGGGTAAGTGCCAGACTACTTTGCACTTCCTTTTAGCTGCTAGACTTTGCAATAAAGCTGGCTTTTCACAGTACTTCACAGAATTCTTTCCAAATCTAAGCCCTCAGCACACAGAAATGGGAATTCTGGGGAACTTCCATCTCTGGGATATGATTAGATACAATAATCCAAACAGAGGGAAAAAAACCCACATGATAAGGGAGTCTCATTGTTGAGAATAAATGCTGTGATACAAACTTAATTCCCATAACTTCTCTTCCTTTTTTTAGGGGAAATAATAAAAAACTCCAAATCACTTCTGAGCATCTCTCTTTAGCCTACAAAGCTCCTGTTATCACAGCATCCAACCATCTCACTGCTCCCTAAGTAAACATTCCTGAGGAACTGAGGACCAAAGAGACTAAGGGAAACAGGCTCAAGCAACTAGCTTGTCTGAAATCAAAGCTCAAGCAAATCAGAGCTATAAGACCTTATCATCCAACTTAGGCTACCATCTAAATAGACAGTGTGATCTAAAATACAGCTTCTGCATTTTGCAAGGGATGCCATCAATGCAGAGTCATTTCAGCTCTACAGTAGTTACACCGAGCTCCTGCAAATCCCTTGCTGAATTTGACCATGAAAATCTGAGGCCCAGACATAAAACCCAGATTCCTTTCTACAAGAAAAATGATCCTGTATAGAAAAAGTTCTTCATTATTATATTAAAGATATCTGTAATTCATCACAGCACCTTTTTTTAAAAAAACATTACGGTGCAAAGGCAGAATTTACTCCTCTTTAGAGATCTTTGCAGTACTTCTGTTCCTGCTTCTCGAATATAGAGAAAAATTGAATACTCATATGAAGAATCAAGAGAATTACACATAACCAACAAGACTGATGGCAACTTCAGAGCTGTTTTTACCTTGAAAGACATTTTAAAACAACGTTTTGTCTTCTAATCTTTATGGAAAATTAGGTTTACCAGAAAGGCTTGCAAACACAAAAGTAGAATATAAAGCTTCCCTGCTTGTAATTCAACTTGTATCTTATAATTAACAGTTTATGCTATAAGAAGGGTTAACTGAGTTGCTAACTAAAGTTTGGTAGAGAAAGAATATTTACAATCCAAAAGGATGAGGACAAGGGCAACTGAAGACCCAAAAGGATGAGGACAAGGGCAACTGAAGCTACAAACTTTGGCTTCTGATCATAGTATTTGAATGGCAAAACAATGAACAGATCGCAAGAAAAATCACTTTAGAAACCAAGTCTCAGTCAAGGTGACTGGTACCAACTGCAAAGCAGAGTACATATTGTAGTCCTGAACAAGTCTGCAACTGACTCCTATTATTGTTACAGGTTGCTGAACTGGTAGCTACTGTAATGATACATGGAAATGCAGATAAAAAGTCATTTACAGGAGAAAATTTTGATACCATCTTATAATTGTTAGGTAGTTTTCTTTACTACAGCTCAATTCACTAGCAGAACTATGACTTTTACTCTCACTCTTTAGAGTGGGTAAAGGACACAAGCCATCCATAGGGGTAACAAAGAACTCTCACATTTACAAGAAACAATGTTTTTGATGACTCAGCAGCACAGTCAATATGATAGTCTGAAGCAGGTTGATTTAGCAAAGTATTTTACACTTTACAATCCCAGCAAATACGTCTGATGAACAATACAGAAAATTGGACCAAACAAACAGTGAGATAAAGAATAAAGCCAGCTTACAGGAACTGAGGTGTGGACAGAAAATTCCTTCCTCCCAAATCCACTGGATATTTAAACATTAAGAAGAAATACAGGTGTCCAACCAGATTCCCTATCAGCTCATTGATGACTCTGCAAGGCAAAAGAAAAAGAATTGTTGCACATGCTGTCTTCACTGAAAATAAACAAGTGACCATCTTCTGCCAGTTACTACTGTTCACCTGCCACGGGCATTGCCGGGGCCATGAGCCACAGAAAATTTCCCTTCCCTCAGTATTTTGCAGCCACTTTAGAAGGGCCAACCTTCAGTGCCAACACATCAAGAGGCTGTTCCACCCTCCCTTCCAAGACTTCTCTACAGTCTGTACTGAAAACACAATTAAATACGTGTTTACATCAAGGAATTAGACCGTACAGCTATTAGTGTCTAAAATAATAGTCTGCGGAGCTTGAGAAGTTACCACTGTTTTCACTGAACAACCTGTCTCCTGCTGTACTGAACTGTTTTGTTCCCAATTTTGCAAAAACACTGCTGAATGGAGGCCCTTGAGTATCTTCTGTCATGCATAGAAACAGCAGGTATCTAACAGCAAGCAGTTTTCTCAAGTGACAGATGAGTCAGTAGGAGGCACAGCCAAAAAAGGGAATTTGGTTTTGCTGTACTATCTCCTCCTTTAACAAGTTATGTGGTTGATTTATAATTGTCACCAATTGTGTTACAGCGGCACCAAGAGGCCCCAACCAATGCAGGGCACCAATGGGAAAGATCATGCACAGAGGGGATTTCGGCATCACGGAATTTAGTCAAAGAAACCCAAGACAGACCAACATATTCAGCAGGTGCTAATATGGCACTCTGTAGGCTTGTTATTGCCATTTTCCCTTGTCTCACAAGCTGAAAAAACCATCACGCTGGGTAAGACTGTGAGGGAAAGAAGTAACAGCACTATCAGAGCCAAGCTAAATTTGTTTCTAAAACCAGTAACGATGGTTTGTCATATGGGATGACATATCATATGGGATGCAAACGCACGTAGCATGGGGAATAAACAAGAGGAGTTAAGAGACATGCACACACCTGCAGGGCTACGACCTTATTGGCATCACGGAGACGTGGGGGGATGGCTCCTATGATTGGAGTGCTGGGATGGAGGGATACAGGCTCTTTAGGAAGGACAGGCAGGGGAGATGAGGAGGAGGTGTCGCCCTCTATGCCAGTGACCAGCTGGAGTGCATGGAGCTCTGCCTGGGGATGGGTGAGGAGCCGACCGAGAGTTTATGGGTCAGGATTAAAGGGAAGGCAGGGACAGGTGACATTACAGTGGGGGTCTGCTACAGGCCACCTGACCAGGAAGACCGAGCGGATGAGGCCCTCTGTAGAC